GAGCTGTCCATTGTGTTAAGTGAAGCCTCTTTCTTTCAGGTGATACTGATTTGGGAACTTTATAAGGAATTAAAACTTGTTTGTAATTCGTGTGACAACAACCTGAGTTAGTGTTGGCAATGCAGATTTTAATTAGGTGAGAAAGGACATTGATTCTCTTTTCTGCATTATTAAGTACTACTTGTGTCTCAGGAAAATCATGTTTGTTTCTTGTCACATACATTAGTACAAGAGGTTTCAGCTGTTTCAAGCCTTCAAGTTACTGATTTGTTGGGAAAGAGACACTGTTTGTTGGTTTTGGGTTTGTTTCCTCCTTCCCCACCTCAGTACTGGGGGTGAATCCCTTGCAGTAGTTTTAAATTTACTGAGAACAAGCTCTGTTTTCTTAATTGTGTTTTGTGGGTTCTTTTTGAAGGAGTTTGTGCCCTTTCCAATATATGGCACTGAGGTTCAAAAGTGTTTTGGTAACTCTCACATCTGATTTGTTCATTATTGTATGACTTGGCTTGGTCTGTTTTTATTTTTGACATCTTTAAAATAGCATCACTAGCAAAGGAAACACTCAGTGATGTCTGATGGGACAATACCGAGATTCTGTTGAAAAGTTCTTGTATACTCAGTAAAGTTTCACAAGCAGAATACAAAGTTACATTACTTTTATGTTAAAAAGAGTAACATCAAATAGCCTAAGTTCTTGTTTAGTTACCTTTTAGAACATGATAACTGAAAATGAAGAGCTAAAGCCAGGGGCCTTTTTGCCTCTGAAACTTAAAAGCAGATGAAACCATTAAACACTGCAGTGCTTAGCAAAACAATTTTTGAAGGTGATAAACCATCTTTAAATGCCTACAGCCTCCCTGTAGTAAGTGCAAAAAATTATATCAAGTACCTTTTTCATGTTTACCTTTTACTAGTTGATGAAAACTTGGAAAAAATGCAGGAAAACAAGTGGAGAACAAAAAAGCAGGGGAGTCTGTTTCTCAGAAAATGATGGTGTTCTGTTGTTCCAGGTCACCACATAGAGGCCTTAGAACAAACCTCTTCTGTTCACTGGCTCTGAGCAGTGCATTCTAAAATACGTCATTTAGTCTTCAATACTTAAATATTTGGTTACATGAGGTCTTCTCTTTTAGCCTGTATATGTTAAGGTTAGTTTTATAAACATTTTAAGATGTTAATTTTATTCCTTCCATATCCAGTTCCTGTTTCTGTAAAAACACATTGCTCAATAACCAAGATGGGTTGAAATAAACAGAAAATTAGAAATACTTTTTGGCCAGTTTTCACATGATATTTGGAAAAGGACTTCTGCATGTATAGTTGCATAGAAAAAGTGATGTCACTGCTTAAGCATTTGTGTGGTACATATTTCTGATTAGTAAAGAATGTTTTTATACTGAATTTGGTAATAAATTGTGTACTTGAAAGCCAGCATCTTTTATAGTTGCCAATCTATGAAAAATCAACATTTTTTCAGGAAAACAGTAGAGGTACAAATGCAATACAGAATTAAAAGCTTTCAAATACAGTTGACAAACTAAAATTATCAGTTTCAAGTGGCAGTGATTTTAAATCGGTCTGCTCTGGATGGCATAAATTGAATTAATCAAATGTTGAAGTTCTTCAAGGTATTATACTGTTGTTGCTGTCTTGTCATACTGTTGTGCATCAAAATAGAAACCAGCTCCATGCCTTGACCTATTGCTTTGCACTTCCCCACCTGATTTCTCTTCCCAGAATAGCAGTAATAAGGTGAAATAAACTCTCTAGCGAAAGTTGAAGACTGGGGGCCATATTATATTGCAGAGCCCTGGAGAAGCAGCTATGTATGCTAACAACTAAAACCCAACAGTGTTTTTCAGTCTGGCCGGGAAGCCAGCTGGCACTGAGTGAAAGCCTCTGATCTTCCAACCAGAATGGACTTGTTTGAAGTGCCCACTGGGTCTCAGGTCCGTGCTGACACCTGAAATGTGCTTGGGAGCAGCCCAGAGGAGTGCGGGGTGGCCTGGGGTCAGTGCTGTTCTGTAATGGGGAAATGGTGGGGTCCTCCAGCACCACTTCCCTTGGACTTGGCCTCAGTGTCCTAGGGCATGGTAACTTGCTGACAGCGAAGCCAGGAGGGGACTGAATGCTGCTGCTGTCGAAGGTCACTGTCTTCTGTGTCTCTTAGTCACCATTTTGGATGCCAGTTGATGCAGCTGCAATGTAATTTATCTCCCCCACAAAATTTATTTGAATACCTTTTAAAATAATAAGGCAGTTGCTGTCTTGAACACAGGTTATGCTGAGATGTGGAGGCATTTGTTACCTTGGACCTTCTTAATGATCTAAAGTGGTACTTCAGTTTGTCCACAGTGAGGATCAAGGCCTGAGAATAAAAAAATAAAGGTCAGAATACTAAGCATCCATTTCAGTTGAGAAACAGATACGTAATTGTGTTAGCTAGAACATGTTAAAAAAAAAAAAATCCAGAATGCCTAAGATTTTAGGACAGAGATAGAGCCAGTTCAGTAAAAATAAATCTCATCTGATCCTATCAAGTAAATCTGTGTGTAGGAGGTTCCAATTCAGTTGAATTTGTAGAGGTGCTTTTAATATTGTTACACTTTCATAAGAGAAATTAATATTTAACAATTTAAGAATTTTTTTTTTGCATTCAGTTATATGCAAAGCTGTCTCTCACATTATTAGTGAAACAATTTAAACCCTTTGCTGAGTTTATTTTAGTGTAATTTCACAAACTTGTTGCAACATACCATGTATGGAGGTAAGAAAGTGCTACCAGAATGAGTGAAATATATTTTTATTGTTGCTAGTGTGATTTAACAGCTAGAAACAAAGAGAGCAGCACTGTGAGGCTGTGCAGTGCAGTGGTAGTCTTGAACCCCAATTGTTACAAATTTAAGATGTAAACAAGTGTATTTTGACAACTGAAAGAATTTGTATTCTGAGTGGGAAGATGAACTGAGAGGAGTTACCTTTTTCTTATGTTAGGGTGAAAATAGTGTGAGAGGTTACTTGTTCATACATATGGAATATGTATATATGAATACCCAGAGAGCTAGTTGTGGCAAGGCCAGCTTAAATGTTGCTTTAAGTGCATTAGTAGCTACCCTTACACTCAACTGGTGTAAGAAAGTTAATTTCTTAGGTACAGATGAAAATTAAAAAAAAAAAAAGAGAGAGACAAAAGAAAGGGCAGGGTCTGCGGTTATTAAAGGTTTGAATATCATAAAAATGTAATTGAAATGGGAAAGAGCCACCATACTTTATTTGTCAGGGAAAGATAAAGAAAATAATAAAGTAGGTTTAGCCCAGTGTTCCCCCATGGCCAAAGTTGAACTAGTCATGTTTAAAGCCCCCTCAAAAAAAGGCTTTTGCAACTGAATATTTCAGAGCCATGCATGTGTAATTTTTGTGCAGTGTTGAAAGTAAGTGGTCTCAAAGGTGATCTACAGTTTTTTAAGATAAAAGATTTAATTTGACAGAAGTATGCAACATACGAGCTTGCGTTCCTCTCTGCGTGGCCCCCGATGTTACACGTACAGCTCTTTGTGTTGTGCAGTTCTGTCTAGTGATGCTTTCTTCCTATGCAGTCATGCAGTTATTTATGTAAGTGGATAAGCACTAAGCACAAGATGCTTTTGCAAGCAAGATCCACTGTAATTGCTTTCTCTGCCTGCCGAAAGCAGGCTCTGTCTGGGGTCTGCATGTGTCCTGCTCCGTAGGAGCGGCTGGGGTTGTGTTCCTGGCTGGCCACCCAAGTAGCACTGGCTACTTTGAACTGGTTTGGTCTGAAGCAGACAGGCTCTGTTAATCTATTCTGTATCACACTTGGCTGTGAGCCACGACTAGGTCTTGTGTGCTGCTCCTGTGACCTCAGGGAACGAATTTTTGTCTTTCTTTTAAGTTTGGAGCATTTGAAACAACCTACATGGTTGATGTTTTAATGGCATGTGCTCAAGGATTGTATGTTAAATTCCATGAGGATATATTTATTGAGTGGGAAGCCTGTTGAGAAGTTCTTAACAGACTGGGTAGGACAGAGGGAGTCACACTCAGTGTGTTCCCACCCATACTGGGTTTTGGGAACAGCTTCTGGAGAGAAGTGTTCCCAGAACCATGCCAAGTCTTTGCCTTCAGAAAAGCTGTTTGGAGCAACGTAGGTAGCCACTGTCAAGTCCTCCGTGTGTAGCAGGTCAGGTGTGCGCCAGAGGTACGAATAACTGGAAGGAACTGGAATGTCCTTACAGGTGCACCTACCTGGACTGCTGCGCCTCAGAAAATTCTTGCAAAGCTGGTCCTGGAGGACCACTTACAGCAGGTTGTGGAGCTTTGCTGTCTGAACCTAGGGCTGCTGCTGCCTGCTCAATGAGGATATACAGCACAGCAGAAATTGTTTCTCGTGATTTTAGGGGACCATGTGGTAATTGTGCAGTCATATTTATTTTTCTTTCTCAGATTTGAAGGAATGTATTATTTAGAAATTATAATGAGCCTGTACAATGCATAAAATGCATGTCAACACCATCTTGTACCTGTGCAGTTCTCCAGTGCAATCATTAACGATGTGTTTTAGCATTTGGTGACTTCTGTCTTGCTTAACAGCCTTGCATGACACTTGTATAAAAAAATACACATCTTTTCCCTAAGAAGCAGGCAAAGACATCAAGTAATGCCTTTCATATTTTGACTTGCTTTAAATTGCATTTATTGTCAGATGAGTTCTTGTCTTATAGACTTGTCATATCTCTCTTTGAACATCATTTTGTCGTTAAGTTCGTTGCAAAAATACAGAGAAAGCATACTAGACTTCTGAAATCTTACAGTAATATTTTCAGATATTACTCTAAAGGATGAACCATTTCCTCCAGCTTAAAATATTAAGCCAGCATTGCTTCAGCTTGCTTTGCAAGGCTTAACTATATCTGCAGTTATGTAAGTTTCAGTTATGTGCTATTTCATGGGCATCTATTTAAACATACAACTATTATTTTTAGTTGAAATATAGACTATATAAAGACTTAAAAGATGTGGGATCAAGGTGGACAACCTTGGCAGCAATGGCCTTTGAACCAACAGCAGTGGATGCAGTCATTTCAGCACCAGCAAGATCCGAGTAAGTATATAGAAAGCTTTGTGGATTAATTTTTTTAATCTGTTGTCATTTGAGTTTTTGGATCTTTGTTACAGAGCATGACGCATAGTTGCCCTTTTGTGGCTGCTCTCAAGATAATACATTTATGATGCTTTTCAGAACTCAAAAAATTAGAAAACATACATTGAGTCCAAATGCTTTCACATCATTAATATATAATATGCAAAACAGAGGCAAGCAGCCTGAATTATCCTAGTCAAATTATCAACATTTAGAGTTCATTTACTTCTACAGAATCTATATCCTTGTCAGTTGTTTAGCCAAGCTGAATAATTTATTTGAGAAAATCTGCTTTTCTATTTGGTACCTGTGTGGCAGAAGTACAGGTATAATGCAGACATATATATATATATATACAGAAAAACTCTCATTGGAAGACTAGTGTGATGTTTGGTTTAGGTTACAACGGTGATAATCATGATCTCTTGTTTGGATTTTTTTTCCCCACCGAAACCCACCAAATACATTTATACAATAGAACATAATATACCTTAAATTGAGAATGAGGTGACAACAATTCAAAATTTCAAGAGAAATAGAGAAAGGGATAAAGAGCATGGAGGTGTGTATTTAATACTGGGGCAGAGTGATGAGGCACACTGGTTTTACTCTTACTTTAATTTCTGTTAAATTCACTGGAGCATTTTCCTGACTTGACAATGAGCAGAAGACACACTAGTGTTCTCATTTGAGAGTGAAATTTATTTACTGGTAGGAATGGCAGTAAAGAAAAAAATGGGGGAGAGAACTGTAACATAATATAGCAAGGGTTATACAAAGAGTATACATTGAAAAATCATTTTGTAACTATCTTCCTTGCACTCAAGTCTTCATTAGTTTAGAATTTAAGGCTATGTATATTTATTTCTGATGTCAAAATTAGCTCACTTATGAAAAAAAGTGCATTACTGCCACCCATTCAGTGCTAATGTGAACCTAAAAATAATATGCCTTATGGCATTTTGAACATGTGCAGAGAAACTCTACTTCAGCAAGTCCGTACGCTGACATTTGCTTTGTTTCTTTTACTGTACACTGTGAATAAGTTTTAATGGTGCTCACGGTACTTGCTGAAGGTAAATGTTGCCCATTTCTCCTGAGCAATAAGACCTGTAATTAAAAAGCAGAGTTAAACTGTATGAAACTGTTACCGTGAATTGTAACCTTTTTAATTTCCTCTGTTTATTTTAGGCCAAATTGACTGGGCTGCATTAGCTCAAGCATGGATTGCTCAACGAGAAGCCTCAGGGCAACAGAATGTAGTGGAACAACAAGGAATGATGCCAAACGGACAGGATATTTCAGGAATAGAGTCTGGTCCAAACAACCATAATAATTTTCAGGGGGATCCCAACTTCAACAGAATGTGGCAGCCAGGTTTGTTTTCCCTCCTATTCATTCCTTTTTTTCATGTAATGACATTTTATTCTTGTCAGACATTTTTGGGTGTGAATATACCCTGTCCCTCAGGTTTTAAGATGCAAAACTACCAGTTGACTAATTAACAAGTATCACAGCTGCTACTTTCCAGTCAGGTGTTCTACAAAATGGGCTACAGTACAGAACAGTTATCAGAAGGGTCTGATAACACAACTCAGTAACAGGTTTATTCTATCCCTGTCGTAGGGATATGAATGTTGTAGAAAGATGGTCTGAATTTCTTTATATATTTATTTCACTGGATCTTATTCTTCTTCTGTGTTACGCTCAGTTTCTTTAGTTTAAGCAATGTTATTCTTAATATATAAAAGTAGTCACAGCACACAAAACTGGATGGCTAGCCAAAGTTCTCTTGTATATTTACTCTGTTTCCACAAAGCTTCATCTTCCCTCTGTATCCTTCCATGTTTCTTTTTGGATCCAAAAGTCCTTTGCACACTACTAATAAAAAACTAAAATGGCAATCTGAAAACCTAACCGGCAGACAATTGATTTTGATTCACGTTCCACAAGTGCAGAGAGCTTGTGTTGTATGTTATTTGCAAGGTTTCAAGTCAGTTTGAACATGCGAAAAAAGAACAGCAAGTAGAAAAACTGTGCTAACACTTTTTAGTTGCTACAGTTATGGATCCCATTAGGATGCAGATGGCAAGCACAGTGAAAATTAGAAAAATGGACTAAAGAACTGGATGGAAGGTAAAAATTAACCTGAGAGGCTAGATATTAATTCTGTTACTGGGGGAAGTTACAAGGTAGCTTTGTCTGTAGGTATCTGTACAGCAGATACAGTTTTCTGAGGAAATCAGCCAAAAAATTATGGCCACATGGACTATTTATTGATTCCTTTGACTCTTTGCATTCTGTTAGCGAGTTGTAACATATTTGAGGGCTTATGACTAGCTTATGCTAGAACCTCTGCTAGGTATTGGACAATCCAAGGAATCGTCCATTATCAAGACACAAGACTTTGGAACGCAGGTTTCAGTGGTTGTGCTGTTTACAAAACCATTTGCTCTCCATAGTAGGTGTTTCAAGTCTATTATACAGAAGAATAAAGTAGGTCATTGCTTTGAAAGTTGAAGTAGAGAAGTAGGAGCAGTTTTTTAACAGTTTAAACAACTTGTAAATCCTGTGGTGAAGTCACTGTCACTAAAAATTTATAAAAACAAATTTACAGCATGTCTACATCTGTCCAATTCTGTCCCTCCACTGCATGTTTTCGTTCAGCTACAGCTATTTGTATTTTCTTCATTTAGTTGAAGAAATTATTTCCAGTATAACAGTCTGTAGATGGATGATTCTTTTGAACTTTATTGTCTGTGATGCTGTGAGGAACGTTGTGATAAATACAAGAACACTGAGTGAGTGGTGACTCATGTAAATTATACTAACTTGGTATTGAATTGTATTCTAAATCCTAAACAGAATGGGGAATGCCTCACCAACCCCCTCACCCACCTCCAGACCAGCAGTGGATGACTCCAACCCCAGGTCAAATGGAAATTGTTCCTCCATCTGAAGACAGCAACAGTCAGGACAGTGGGGAATTTACTCCTGACAACAGGCATATATTTAACCAGAACAATCACAACTTTGGGGGACCTCCCGATAACTTTGCAATGGGGCCAGTGAACCAGTTTGACTATCAGGTGAAACATATTTGTTGCTTTAATATTGTAGGCGCGCAGAGTCCCTTCCGTGGATGTGTTCCTCTAATATCATCTAGCGGCGACTTTCATTCTTCAGTTCTACAAACATCTACAGAATCTGTTATCTGCTAAGATACATTTTTCCCAAATACTTTAAAGAAGAGCCTTTGGAGTTTTCAGTTCTGTTCAGAGGCCAAAGAGTTTTATTTTTCTATAGTAGTAATGAGATGGCTGTTGTCTTAAATGTTAAAATGAATCACTGTGTTCCAGTATATAAATTAACATTATGTAGCTTTGTGTTTAAAAAAAAAAAAAAAAGAGGAGGAGAAGGAAAAAAAAAATGAAGTTCAGAAAGATTTATTTAAATACACTAGATAATGTACGACAGGAAACAGTCCTGTATTTGCAGGGAGATAGACTGGATGATCCATTGATCTTTTCCATATCTATCTACTGTGATTCTTTTAATAAACAATGGTATTTCTAAAGAAGTCCACATCCAATTTTTTTCTTCATTCTGGCATATAACTTGCATAGCATAGTAAACCTGTAGGTGGTTTTAGCACTAATAATGGCAGGAGGAATTGCACAAAATCTTTAAACACAAAGCAGTTTTGTATCTTCCCTCTATTTTCAGTATTTTTCTTTCAAAACACTTGATATAAATGAAACTGTACCTGTTAAAAAAACCTACATCCTGTTCATAAGCAAACACAAGGGAAGATGGGCAGAAATGTTTTTCTGTCTTCTGGGCTGTTTTTTTCTTGTAGTTCTGTTCAACAGTATCCTTAGGTAGTGAACAAATAATTTGCCAATATACTAGTTTATTATAAGAATAGTATTCTTTGTTTACTATTATGGGACAAACTCTTAAAATTAATTTCTCTAAATACTACAGAAAACTTGTTTTTGCAGTGAATAAAAGAGAGATGCTTGACCTGAAATTGTAGTGGGAGAGTGCTTCAGCACTAGTGACTTTAATAGTCAGTAGAATATTTGATGCTATAACTTTCTTCTTAAACACTCTCTTCTTAAATAGTTTCATTAGGCATTTCTGGGCAGCAAACCTTAAAACAAATAACTCCTCTCATATGCCTCAAGAGTTAAGGCTTTTGGATTGTGTACAGCTTGTCCAGAACCCAGGATCTATACTAAAATGACATAGTTATGAATTTAATATTTTAATCAGCCATACTAATAAGATCCGTGAATGAATACTGGAAAATGCACAGTGGAAAATTCTTTTGTAATGAAAGGTTGAACTTTAAATTTTTGTCCTCATGTTGTAGCTAAAAGGAAGGACTGCTAATATAGCTAGACTTTTAGATCTTAGTTTTGTATACTCTTCATTTAACTGCATGCTCTGATGCTAAGCTGGCAAGGATGGAGGCACATGGTGATTATAGGCTTAATGTTTAGCACGATATAAAAGGAGATTGGTTGAAGCCCTTTCAGCTTTGTTAGTATCCCTGCTTAAATCTAAGTTTACTCATTAAGTATTTAAAGGAAACTTGTTTTGTGGGGATCACAGTGAAAGAGATTGAGATCTCAGTAGCCTAGAAATCATGGATTCCTACTTGCATGGATTTTTGTAGACCGACTTGCTCACATGCTGCATTTGGTGTTACCATGTGAAGAAAAATAAACTGCATTACTCTTTCAGCATGGGGCTGCTTTTGGTCCACCTCAAGGTGGATTTCATCCACCTTATTGGCAGCCAGGACCACCAGGACCACCAGGTCCTCCAGCACCTCCTGCACCTACTCAAAATCGAAGGGAAAGACCCTCATTCAGAGATCGGCAGCGTTCACCTATTGCGATGCCTGTGAAGCAGGAGCCTCCACAGATTGGTACATGTTACCCACTCCTTAATGAAAAAATGTAAAACTGTGTTTTAAAAAGAATTGCAAAATTTGAAGACCTTTTCTTTTAATGGAAAGTAAAAGAGCAGGGAAAGAAAAAGCCATTGTAAATGGTTTTTTCCCCACGATAAGATGTGTAACTTGTTTGAGTGGGGGAGGTGGAGGGTTTGCTTCTTTGTTTTGCGGGGTTTTTTTGTTCTTTTTGGGGGGGGAGGTTTTTTCATCTTCCGTAATTGTAAACCTTGCTTATGTAGATGCTGTGAAGCGTAGAACTCTGCCTGCCTGGATTCGAGAGGGCCTGGAAAAGATGGAAAGAGAAAAACAGAAAAAACTGGAAAAAGAGAGAATGGAGCAGCAACGTTCACAGATGTCTAAAAAAGACATTGGCACTGTGACTGTGAACTCCCAACTATACAGAGCAAGAAAAACTCATTTGGCCACAAGCACTTGAAGGCTAAAAAAGAAAAAAAGGAAAGTGAGGAGGCTGAAGAAGGGGATGGCCCACGGTTACCTCAGAAAAGTAAATTTGTAAGTAGAAGGGTTTGCTTTTTGCTCAGGTTTGTATTTCCTGAAAGGTATCAACTTTTTGGTCTCTTCGAAAGAGAGACTGTGTATTCCTGATTACCTCTTTGGTTTTGTTGCTTGAAGTAAGGTTATGCTGCTACTCTGTTGATAATTACTTGGTGTTTTGAAGTTTTTTATGTCTGAGAGGTAAAATATATTATTTGATCCATAGTAGCAGGAAAACAATGATGAAATTGGCCTTTTCTCCTTTTTTTTTTTTTTTCCTTTTGGAACATACATAGTCTTTGAAAGCCTGAATTCTAAGTCAGCAGCTGAAAAAATTCAGATACCTGTATTTGCTAAACTGAGCCCATTTAGGGGACCTTGCATTGCCTTCACTGTAGCAGTTATCTTGTTTGTAGTGCTAAGTACATGTCTGGCAGTGAACTGACAGCTATGTATTTTCTTAGCTTATGTGGGTAGAGGTACCTGTGTATTTTTTAGGAAACGAGAAAATAAATAGTTTTATGATAACTGTAATACAGATTTCAGTACAAAATAAACCAAGTTGACTATTACAAATAGAAAATAAGGAGCTTGACATCTACGTTTTTCCTGAAATGTACGATGCTGTTCTTGCAGGACAGTGATGAGGAAGATGAAGATGCCGAAAACACAGAAGCTGTAAGTGTTGGGAAAAGCAGCAGGAGTCCATCCCCAGCTCCTCAAGAGGAGCAAAGTGAACCAGAAATGACAGAAGAAGAAAAGGAGTATCAAATGGTATTAATAATGTAGTTCTCACTAAGTGTTTTTGTCTAATTGCTCATATTATTTGCGTATATCAAAATAAACCACTTTTTCCATGCCTGATATTGTCCGTAGAGGTACAGTGCACTCATACAGATATTTGCATGTCTCTTCATAATGCTGTCTTTCTTACAGAATCAAGGATATAGGTTATATAACTCATGTTTAGCACAATAGTGAAAGAATATAACTGTAACTTTTACAATGATTCTGTTATTTATTCTATGGTTTTGTTTCACTTGTCGAATATCTGAAAACTTTAGTTATTAACTGCACCCATCTCAAATCCATGCTTCAACCTTAGTTCATGTGAAAGGGAATGTAAGAAATGTAAGGGAATGAGAAAGAGCTAGAAACCTAAGTGCTAGACCAGCAACAGTTTCACTTTGTGTGCAGAACCTTTGTACTTTGAAATCACAGTTGAATGCTAATTGTACAACTGAAACCTTGTTAATTGAGGCCCTGAATTCTAATAAGTTTGATAAATATATTTTTGTAAAGCATGTGGCCAGACTGAGCATCTTGGAGAACAAGCTACCACCATTTAAATTTTTCTAGTAAATATGTAATAATAAAATCCTATGTAAGTAACCTCTGATGATTTTAGCAGGCAGCATACCAGAGAAATGTGCTCGTTATTTTTTTGTAAGAATAAATGGGATCAGTCTTTAATTACATTTCTGATTTACATATTCATTTGTTGTATGGTCTTTGACATTAGGATCAGTGCCCTGGATAGCTGTGTGCAATACATGCAGATACAGTTCACAGTCAAAATACAAACCTGAAAGTTTTGAAATCAGGTCACATTTAAACAGTTTCAGTCTTAGGTTTTTTAGTCACATCTGTTGAAAGAAGTCATTAAATAAAATGTGTAGGAGACTACTTTCATAGCTATCAAAAGAAGTGAAGTCCTATGTATATAATTTGAATTCAGTGTTGATTCAAGATGTTTTGGCCTTTAATTGTATCTACCATTTTGTTCAGATGATGCTGACAAAAATGCTGCTGACAGAGATTCTCTTAGATGTCACAAATGAAGAAATCTATTATGTGGCCAAAGATGTTCACCGTAAAGCAACTAAAGGTATGCCAGCCTCTGGGTTTTTGTTTTTTTTCTTTTTAATTTCTTCTGCGAATATTCTATATTTGCATGTCTCTAGAACATTTAACCTCCATAGCTCTCCCTCAAGAACAATTCCAGTATAATGCATCCAACTTGGTAGAGTTCCAATCCAGTAATCATGTACTGTTGTCCTGTGCAAGTGTATTGTGAGTTGCTTCAGTTATTCCATTTTTTTCATGCAATTCATTTCAGTTAAAATGGTGCCTTGTGTGTCAATGGCTCTTGAGTTGTAGCTGTTTCTTAATACTATCATCTTTATCTCAAGGCTGTTCAGAAGTGAAAAGAGATGAACTTTGAGTCCTCAATTAGTAATTAATTTGCTTTCACTATTAACATGTATTGTATTTACATAACAGATTGTTTTAACGTAACAGAGTTAATCTAAATATGTAACTACTGAAATTGAAAATTCTGTGCAGATGCTGTAACTTGGAAAATGATTTATGAATATATATTTGGGTTTTTTTCTGTACGCTGTTAATTTGCAGTTAAATTCTAAATCTTCGTGGTCAGAAAATCTGGAAGTGGTTTTAAATGGATGATGCGTTTTTAATGTTTCTTCTCTCCCTCCAAAGAACAGCAATAGTAGTAGATTTAACAATACCATAGACTCATGACTATGAAATCGTGGCTATTTGTGTTAACATGTTGTTCCTGTTGTTGATGTGATACAAAGCTCCTGCAAAACAGCTGGCACAGTCCAGTGCACTGGCTTCCCTCACTGGACTCGGTAAGTATGTTCCTTATTTTTGAGAGGGCTTAAAGGGGGAGTTTTGTTCTTGCCTTGCATTTCTAGAAATTGCATTTTGAAACTATATTTTAATTGCCTGGGAGTATGGGTCACTTTCTGATAACTTTATCATTATCAGCACCTTTGTTTGTTTCACAGGTGATCCTACTGATATGTAAGTGGGATAGTGTTTGGAGTAAAGGACTAGGCAGTTAGTGTCTGGGAATCCTACCCTAATTTTGAAAATATGTAAACCTTTTAGATATATTTACATTTTGAAGTGTGATAATTTCAGAAGCACACTGCAGTCTTCAAAGAGAGGAATACTGTTTTATATTTTTCTCCTATCTTGATCCATCCAAACCAGAGGGGAAAGTTGATAGAAGAGTAATGTGAAAGTCTATAAATGAAAATATTATAATCTTTGTAATTATTATTTTATTGAAAAGCTACATAAGCGCAAAGGCTCCCATATCATATATTACCATAAACAACACGAGAAAAATAGATTGAAATTCCGGCTTGAAACACAACTGCAAAAGATCTTTCCCAACATGATTTTTATCATCTAAAACGTACTACAGCGGTGTCAGTGATCAGTTATATGTTCATTACATGGAATTTTGGTGAATTAGATTGAATGTTATCATCACAAGTATTCATGTTGCAAAACTAAGTAAGGATTCTAAGAACCTTAGACTGAAAGAAAGTAAAATATCTGTGTCAGATTTAAATTGACTTTATCCTTCTTATCTGTCCAGTATTAATCCTTGGGGGAGAAGAAAGCCTGTTTTTGTTCCATGTCCATACCTGTCAAAGTGCAGTGTTTTCTAAATCAGTATAGAAAAATTGATATGGCATTCAGAATTTCTGTAGCCTGGACTACGGAGACGGCTGAAGTCATTTCAGAGGTGTCTTCTGGGAAAGATCCCAGGCATTTTTTCTGTCCGGTTGCTGATGCAGAGGCAGGCACTATTACAATCTCCACAGGGAGCTTTTTCCCCTTCCATACAATGGAAAAAAGTACCGTGATCACAGTGGTTGCTTGCCGAAAATAGACAAGCTGTTCCAGAAGGAGTAGAACCAGACAGTGAGCGTCAATGCAGATATGGGAGCCTTGAACACACCAGTCAAACAACATTGGCACTTACCAGAATAAAGTGACTTCTTCAGAGAAGAGGAAGTGAAGGAAGGGAATGTTACTCTCCTCTTTGCCTCACAGAAATATTAAGAACAAAGCTTAACCTTTCCTCGTGATAGACTGGGCTTTATGCACGCAGGTGGACTGGGTGGTTATGGATCAGGAGACAGTGAAGATGAGAGGAGTGACAGAGGCTCTGAGTCATCTGATACTGATGATGAGGAATTACGACACAGAATCAGGCAAAAACAGGAAGCGTTTTGGAGAAAAGAGAGAGAACAGCAACTACTACTAGAAAAACAGCTAGAAGGTAAATCATATAATGTCTTCTTGCTGTGCTGCTGTATATGGAGTTTGCTACTTAGTGTATGTAAACTGATGGAAAATTCATTTTATGCCAAATGTAGAAATAATGTTATTTATTTTTAATTAAAATGTTTTAACAAAAAAGATGTTCGAGCTACTTGATCAAAGTGGGGTTTGCTGCTTTCTTGTTAAAAAGAAAAAAATGCATGTAGTGTTTTCCATAAATTTTTCCACTTCAGTGTGTAAAGGGGAGACATGGTGCATAAATGTATGCTCTAGATATTGTACTGTACAGATACTGTATAAACAATCATACCACTTTATAAAAATGTACATGTGTGTATAATGTATTTTTAAAAATTATTAGTGTCTCAGTTATGCCTGGGGGATAAATTTCACCTTTCTGCTTCACACTGCAGTTTATATAAACTTGATTCCTTAAGGTTGAATATGAAGCACATTTCACATCATCTGAAAAACTTGCTTTTTCTGGTACGTAATCTCAGGCATCTCAGTAATCTGTACAGTGGGATCTGCAGTTTCTTTGAACTCATTGACCTCTGTTGTAGTTCAGGTTTGTTTCCATATGCTGCATCCTCGTAGCTGGGTTTTAACCTAATAACAGGGAAAAATTACTGAACTCAGTCAGTTGACACTTAGCCTATGAAGAAGGTGGTAGACTTGATTTAAAAACAAACAAAAAAAACCCCCAAAAACCAAAAACAACAATCTGTGATTTACTTCTGCTTTTCCATACAAGGTAAGGTTTATTCTTTTGTACTAATAATGTAGGTCAAAAGGGTATCACAGTCACCTTGCAGTGCTGAAGAACAGTCTAGATCAACAGATGAATTCAATGCTAAGAAGTCATGAACCAAGTTCATAGGCTGGAGGAGAAAGTGCTATTATGATTAGCACTTTAAGATTGATGATTTCCTCCTTTTACTTTTTATTTTAAAGGCCTGGAAATAAAACAAATGCTGCTGTTAATGAAAGGCTGAATTAACTAAACTTTTGGTTTCCTTAATATTCATGTTTCTCTCTGAGTGTTTTAAGATGTATGCATAAAAGAATAGTCATATGGAGAGTGACCAAGTGGTGGCTTATGACCTCTGTCTTCCCACTACACGAAACTAGATGCCAGTGTGGAAACATCTCCATGGAACTACTTGCAGAAATAAAAATCTAGAGTAAAGCAGCTGATTCTATATGTCCAAAATATGGAAGAATACTAAATGCAGAGTCATTTCTAGCAGTGTTTTGGAAAGGCAGAAGATTTCTAATATACTATACAGCATCTTCTAACATACACTGGCTTTTGCCTGTATTGCCTAATAACTTGGGGACCAGATGGAATTGTTTTCTGGGTTAGATTTGACCATCAGCTGCCATTTGAATCACTGTGTGTTTCTAGATGCAATTTTATCCCCTAAATTAATTCAGCAACTGATGGCCCACATCAAAAGGCCATGTTTTGGCTAAAAATGTTGGATGTCACTTATTTTTTTCTGGGTTCAATTTAAAATGGGAAGGGGAGATAAACTTGGCCAGTGATGCAAAGGATCCTAGGTTGAATAGAAATAATTTTTTTTTAATTTTGGAAACCTCTGGAAAATGTTCTGAGGCTCTGAAATCATGGCCCGATACTCATTATGTTCCTTTCAAGAAATGTATTTTTAATTCATCTGTTGTCACCACATTTATCATATTGGCTGGCTGCCAAACTTACACCTAATCTCAGCTGACATTAACTTTTCACTTTGTGCGAGCTTCACCAAGTACCTGTATTACATGCTGTGATCTTAACTTTTGAGCTGAGTCTTAAGCAAAGAATTATCTACAAGTCTCCTTTTTTTAATCCTATTCCTCCCTTCCTTGGAATTCATCGGTTATAAAACCTACAAAGAAAAATGTTGATTTTTCATGCTGGTTAGCACTTAGGATTTAATCAAATTATCCTCGAAAAACACCATAAACCCTATATTTTATTTCAACAACCCAGTATGTCACTACAGCAGAAGGTACTCCTCCTAAGACTGTTTTGGGCAACGAGGCCTACAAAGTCTAGAGGTACAGCCAACATTGTTCTGATGTTGAGAGGCCACTCATGTGCTGTGTGGGAAATACAGCTTTTTCAGACCAGTCAAACTCAGGTGAATACGGCTGGAACGAAGGCAGGAAGCATCAGTTCCGCTAGAGGGATGTTGTAGGATGGAGAAGGAGAGAATCAGGTGTGCAGAAAGGTTGCAAGAAGGAAAAAGTCTTGTGTGTGTGTGTAGATGAATTTGGGAGTTCTGGTGTTCCAGGATATTTGTTTGAGAACTTCTTCTTAAACCATTGAAACATGAAATAACGTCAGGGACTTCTAAAAAACGTCTAGGCTGTACACATTTTCTAAACCAGGACAACTTTTCTAGAATTATAAGAAAAGGAGTGGTTTGGTATGGTGGTGGACAGTGTTTCCATTATAAGTGCTTGGAAATTTGGTTTTGTCAAAGTAACAGTATGGAAATTATTGACATATTGCTCCAAATTGATTGCATTATTTCTTCTGTGTACCTTTTTTTTCAGAAGAGAAGCTACAAAATGAAAAAGTTTCGAAAGAGATGAGTGAATTTATCAACAAAGAACAAAATAGTAACTCAGCATCACAGGAGGCAAAAGAAATTGAAGCAGATATGGTTCATGAAAAGAAAAGATCTCCAAATGCAATCACACCTGATGTAGAAGTCAAGAAAGAGGGTAAAGACAGGACAGGAAGGAGTGGGTCCAGAAGCTCCAGCAGTGGTAGCACTAGCAGCAATAGCAGGAGCAGCAGCAGTAGCAGCACAGTATCTAGTTCATCCTATAGCACTAGCTCAGGTAGCAGTCGCAGCTCTTCACGTTCTTCCTCTCCTAAAAGGAAGAAGAGGCACAGTCGCAGTAGGACGCCATCACATAAGGTTAGGCGCAGCAGAAGCAGGAGTTACTCCCACAGAAATAGGAGAGAGAGGAGTAGGAGCAGAGAGAAAATACGGGAAAGGAGAAGACCTAGTAGAAATCACAGTGCTGAAAGAGGGGAGAGGCGGAGAAACCGGAGTCCTTCAAGAGAGAAAAGCTGGGATAGACGTAGAAGCGGTAGCCGCTCACGAGACCGGCGAGCCAACCGTGCAAGCCGCAGCAGAAGCAGGGAGAGACGTAAAGCTGAAGACCAGCGTAGAAGCCCAACTGGAAATAGGCACAAACATAAAAGTGAGGGTAAAGATCAAGACAGGAAGAAGGAGCAGGGCGGAGGTGTAGATAAAGACAGAAAAAAGAACAGAGAAAGGGAGAGAGATCAGGAAAAAAGAAAAGATAAGCCCAAAAAAGAGGAAAAAGAAAGTAAGGCTGGCAATCATGATGACAGTAGATTAAAGAGAAAAAGAGACAGTGAAAGAACTTTCTCTCGCAGTGATTCAATATGTGTGAAAATAATAAGACAGGATTCCAGACAAGAAAGCAAAAAAATTACTACCAAAGATAGCAAAAAGCGGTCAGGCTCTGAATCTAGTGCGAGAAGTAGTTCTGAATCACCAGGAAGCAGTAAAGAAAAGAAGGCTAAGAAATCAAAGCATATTCGGTCATGCTCCATGGAGAAATCTCAAAGGTCTGGTAAGAAGGCAAGCCGCAAACACAAGTCTAAGTCACGATCAAGGTAGTATACTTTTTAAGTATTTTGTCTGACTTTTAAAATTTTTTTTATATTCGTCTTCATGTGTTCGGCATATGAACTTTTTAAATAAAGTATGGTATTTATTAAACTTTTTGTCTTGGGCAAAAGTAACTTTGGAAAATCTTTTAAAACTATTAATTACTAAGCCTAAAGTTTGTGGGTTTGGGGGTCTTTTATTTTTTCCAATTAACTTTTCCCCCCTTTTCCTTTATTTTTCAGATCAACAACTCCTCTTCGTCGTAAACGCTGAGGAATTTATGGCACCAGTGCTATGACGTTTAAAAATTCCATGAGTTATAAAAGGCTTGTCTCATTATAGAGGCACATTGTGGCTATGTAGGTGAAACCAGAATCCTTTTTTTATCTGTACATAGGTGTATTTTTTCCAAATGCTGCTCAGAATTAAATACCTAATAGGATTTCTTTGTATTACATTTTTTCAAGAACGGTAGCGCTTATTAAGACTATAAAACAGGCCATTCTCTTTCAGCTGTAATGTTCTTAAAATTACTATTGAATGTACTGTGATGTCAATAAAGCTCTTTAGTTAATTTTTGTTTAAAATTCTTGCACCTGAATTTTGTGTTAAATGGTAGAAAGTACTTAAAAAAAGGCAGCTTTTTTGGTATAACAAATTTTTAAAGTACTTGAGAAAGATTTAACATAAAACACTTATCACAATATGTAATTCATGGATTTGATGAGATTATTCTATTGGGGTTGTGGAAGAACAGAGCAAAGGCATTTTCCTTTAGATATGTGTAATAGATTTTTAATAGCCTTTTTTTTTGGTCTAGCAAGTACTATATGCTGTGTGTGTAAAATATGGGTCACTGTAATACAAGCTATACTTAAACAGACTGAACCCCATTAGGAATATGTGCGACTAACTGATCTTGTGTGACAGTATGAAGCTCTGGAACTATATTCCTCACCCAGATTTCAGAAGGAACTTTCTGGATGTTCAGGGATATTACACGAACATATCTCAGAATTTTAGATGTTTTTATGGAATACGTTTACAAATGTCACTGAGTACACATTAGAAAACTGACAATAGGTTAACTTTACATTTTGGCACATGCATTAATTAAATGCATAGTGAATATTAAAGCTGGTTATTTTTGTTAGCATTACGAGAATTGTGATTCCTGTAAGGATAATACATTGATTAGACAGCAATGTCAGTAAAATTTTGGGTTTAGTATTACTATAAAGTGAAAGAGGTCACTGATTATCTGCTTTGGGAAATTGACTGTTAGTAACAAGAGTGTGAAATAATATCCGTTAAAAAGCAAACCAACAATGTACAACCCTAGGTCAGTGACTGTTGCAGAAGAACATGAATTCAGGGAGAGATCTGTGCCTAGAAGGTCTGGTATGACACCAGCTGTGAAAAAGAAAAAAGGCCTAACATCAAAGTAAGTTTTCTTTGATTGGCTGTATCCTCTAAGAAAAAATATACTAGTACAGGCAAGTTGTGAAGCATGTCTTCATGAACAGGTTAATCCATTTAACTAAATTAGAATTAAGCTATGCAGCATTTTTCCAGTGTAATTTTTTTCATAAATTAGATGCAGAAATAAACTGTTTCAGTGCAAAGAATCACATTTTAGCTATGCCTTTATTAAGCAAGCTAATGGCTAGTGAATACATGCATGTTTATCAAAATACTGTTACAGATAAAGAATTAGTTAATCGGTTATAAATTATAACACTCTCCCAACGCCCAGTTATGTCCTTTTACATAGAGTAAACAAGTCATACCTATTAGCAAAATAAGGCATAATTTGCAGCACATAACTTCTACTTGCATTGGTAGGGGTATAAATAAAAATATGTTGATCCAATCTCTCTATGCTCTTTGCTCTGGGTAAGAGTGAGGATTTTTTTAAAAGTGGGTAGCGTAACAGTTCAGATATTTAGAAGGATGCCTTGAGAGAGAAAGAAAGAAAGAAACTAGAAATAACTTTTAAAAGATGTTGAGGAATACAGTTTCCAGAATGCGTTGAATTTGATTTTCAGTTCAGTTTTTATATTCTCTGTCTAATAATAAAAAAGATTGTGTATGAAAAGCTTTATATACTCTGCCAACAACTGGAACTCTGTCACTTCCTGTAAATATGAAAATTATTTTTTTGACACAAATGCACTTATATGGGTAGTGACTGTATGCCAATAAAAAGAGCATACAATCTCTGTATTTAACTGTTTCAGAAATCTTACTATAACGGCCTACTCAGTAATTCAATATCATCAGTACTCTGTCAGCATCACATACGTTAGACTTCTTTGGGCTTTAGTAACTCCCTTAGGAATGTTTTTCAGCGGAAAAGGCTAAAATAACAACCAGTCTTTTTAGTTCCATGCTTATGAAGTGATCCGAAAATGTGCAAATATATACAAAAATGGGTATGTATCTTTCTGGAAAAGTCTAAATTGGGTTGTTGCTCTATTCTTTTACATTTTAAAATGAATGCTGCAAAAACGTTTCAGGGCACTGCAGGAAAGCAAGACATAGGATTTTGAATGTTATGCAGCAACATGACACTTGGAGGCATTTCCCTTGAAAACTTTTTTAATAAATAAGGGATAGTGTGGAATCAAATGAACCATCATTTCCGTGCAAATTGTTCTGAAGATGAATACAACAAAAACAATGTGAATATGTACCCAAAGGTCCCCGCAGCGGCATGTAAGAACAGGAACCAGCTGTGTTCATGGATAGGCCAAATAAAGAGTAGTTGGGTAAAATATTCTGACTTTAAAGATGGAGCAACTACATGCATTTTGAAATATGGCACAATAACAAAAACTCTGTTCTGTCTTTGAGGCCCTGTCTTACGGACAACCTCTAGTTTGAAATGAGCTTATCCTCTTAAGTAGAATACTTGCCAGTATGCATGTATTTAATTGCTTGTTACTGATTTTAAAATCACAAATATAAAAGCAATGGCAATGTAAGGATTCGCTCTCGCTCAGATTTTGTGTTTCCTTTGCTAAATAAATGACAAGTAATAAATTAATTTGTATAAGTAATACGCAGATACACAGTTTGAAGGAAGGCTTAGTCTTGTATCTTAAGGAGACTGTCCTAGCATATAGGATTTCTTTGAGCTCTGTTTTTTTAAGTAGCTGTGAGGTGTTATTAATGACTCTTAAGTTCAGTGCACCGTGAGCTTTGTTGGATGGAAAGCAGGTGAGTAGAGAAGTGATGCAGGTTTGCCATAGGTTTAATTGCTGTTAAGTTTTTTTTGAGCCCTTTCAGCAGTCTGTATTTAGCTTTAAAAAGAAAAAAAAATCCAAACTTTACTACATGAGTTATACTGTATTTATAGGAGAAACAGGCAGATTTCAAGCAGTGAGGGTTGTAAGCACCAAGCAAGGTCAGTTAAAGCAGAATGGCATTAGAGGTAAGAGTAAGTCAAACCAGGACTGGTTATACTACTCCAAACTTCCTGCGGTCTGGAGGCTACCCCTGCCCTTGGCTTTGTGCAAGGCTGTGCTTCCTGCCTGTGGATGCCAGCATCCGCATGGCCAGGCAGGGAACCCGGCCTGTGGTCACCTGCCTGGCAAGCACGGGAGCACTGCCAGCTGCTGCTTCCACGGCTTACCTTAGTCTTGCTTTGCACCGTGCCCTTCCAGCCAGCTTTAGTTCTTATTGGGCTTTCCTGTGAGACCTGCAGCTCAATAAAGTGTCAGAAAAGAAATCTTTTTAAAAACTGGCTTAATTCTTTTCCATTTTAAGCTTGTTAAACTATCTCACCATGGGGATTTGAGAATGCTGAAGCCCAAGTTTGGGGGAAAAGGCTCCCCGTGTCTGTCAGCCCTGAACTGCTCACCCGAACCTCAGTCCAGGGCCCTGGGCTGCAGTGCCCGGGAAGGGAGTGGGGAAGGCATCCTTGTCTTCCTGGGCCACAGTCTGGCTTTGTCTGCAAAAGGTGACACGGCAGCCTCTGAAACTGGCAGCAGCAAACCAGCCTGGATGGTTCCCAAGAGGAAGAACTCGGGCGCTTGTCTCGAGCCCAGCCATGCTGGGAGCCCAGGAGTTCTGCTCATCCCGCAGCGGAGCACTGCAGGCTGCTGGGAATCGCTTGCCTGCCGTGCGTCCCCTCTCCTTGAACGGAGGAGTCGCGTGGTTTGTGCCCTACCCTGCAAGTCCGGTGAGTTTCTTGGTAATAAACTGAAAACTGTTCATCGCTGTGTCGTCCGAACGAGCCTCTGCTCAGGGAGCCTTTTCTTGTTCCAAGACAGGCAAGGATCAGGACGAAGGGGGTACTCATTTAAGCAGAGTCGCTTCAGGTGAAGCCCTGGCGACAAGTGCCACCGTACGGGTTGGCATTCGCAGAGGCCCCAGCGCCGGGCGGAACCTTCCCGGCTCCCGCCCGAGAGTCAGCCGGCACGGCCGGGAGCGGACCGGGGCGGGGCGACGGCGGCGGCGGCGGTGACGGCGATGTGGGGCGGCGGCGGCGCCGGGGCAGCCCGAGCGCTCACCCTCGCCCTGCGGCGCGGGCGGGCGGCGGGCGCGCTGCCGGGGGCTGCGGGCGGTGAGCGGGGCTGAGCGGGCGGGAGGGTCCGGCGCGGCCCGCGGTACAGGCGGAGTGACGGGGCGTCGCTTCCCCGACTGCTCCGCAGCCGGGCCCCGCACACCTCCCGGCGGGTGTGTGTGTAAGCTCCTGGATGCGTCCCCGGCACCGCCGGCCGGGCTGGCAGTGCCGCACCAGCCCTGTGCCCGCCCGGCGGGCCCGGAGCGGCAGCCCGGGGCGGAGGAGGGGGCTCTCCCAGCGAGGTGTTTGTCCCCTGCCGCCTCCTCTGCAGCCCAGAGGTGTCTGTGGATCGCTCCATCGTTCGCTGCAGCTTAAAATCATCCTCCGGGGTGTCTTGTTGTGGGTATGGTGAGGTACTGCTGTGATCTTAGGGGCTCAGGGGCCCGGGCAGCAGTTCGATGTAAGCGGGTGCGCTGTGCCAGGAGATCCGAGCTCAGCGTCGTCGAAGCAGGAGTGGAGAGCAGTTTCAGGACAGTGTCCTTGGCCTGTCTGCACAGTCCGTGAAGTTTTCTTAGTTACGTTTCCTTACCAGTTCATGCAATGCAAGATGGGTGTGCAGCTGTGTATTTGTCATCCCAACACGTAATAAACCCACTGCCGATAAGTGTGTGTATGCACACCTTATGATCAGAGTAAACATTTTGGGGAAATTCACACTAATTGAAACATTTCAGCTGCATGAAAAGCTCCATTCAGGCTCTGAAAAATGGCATTGCATGTAACTTGAGGAGTACAGGGGTGGTCAACTAGCATACACTCTTATTTAATGCCCATGCACTCCTGAAGTATGATAGTGAACAAATGTGCAAAGATTTGCATGGTTATTATTGTGCTAGAGCAGCATTCTACAACTGTGTGTTTTGCCTCTGAGCTCTCCTAAAGCTGATGTTTTTCGTTTGGTTGTCTTATTTATGCAGATGGCCATGCTGATCTGTCTTTTCAGACAGGCCTGAGAGGTATCCTTCAGGACTACAACTGGAAAATACAACTGAAATCCAGTAGTACTCTGCCTGTCTCACTGACTGAAATGAAAAGCAGCATGTAAGTATTGCATCTAAAATAATCCCATGTGACAGGGACTACCATTTTCTATAACAATTTAATTTTACTTTGTGACAGTGTCACATGGAGCCATTTTTACATCTCACTCATGTTTAAATGTTTGAAGTGGCCTATTCCTATTTTGTTAATTACTGACATAAAAATTACAGGCATGCAGCCATCTGTTTGGGAAGATGTGTCACCCATATAGTGTATAAAATCTGTGTGCTACTAAACAAGTTGAACTAGAGTCTCTAAAGGAACATGAGTTTTGCCTTTTTTCATTTTCTGATACAGAATTTGTTTTTCCTTAATTTCAGCCAACACAAAATATCAGTATTAGTTTAATGACATTCAGCTTTCATTATTTAGGCTCACTGCGAAGAGGCCTCTCAGCACTTCACACTCATCAGTGGATTCAAAGGAAATAAAAAAATTCCAGCTCCTCGCGCATAAGTGGTGGGATGAAGAAGGAGAATATTCAGCCCTTCATTCTATGAATGATATTAGAGTGCCATTTATTAGGTATGGTTTTGAAGACAGTTTTTCTTAAATGTACTATTTCTGCATAACCTCAGAAAACTTGAAAAAAAGAAAAATTGTAAAAGAAAAATTATCAGTACTTAAGGTAACTGAATATTGCATCTACTAAAGCACCTTGTGTGTTTGACCTTAATCACATCCCTTTTCTTTCAGAGATACTCTGTTGAGCATGAGTTGTAATTATCATCTGGGAAATCCACTTTCTGGAGTAAAGATTCTTGATGTTGGCTGTGGTGGAGGACTGCTAAGTGAGGTAAGAAACAGCGTGCTCTGTGTTTTCTGGTTAAAAAGTGTACAAGGTATTTGAATTGTTTTACTGTTACACTGCTTAATTTCTAATATTCCAAGAAGGACCTTTTCTCTTCTTTAATATGTTAGTTACTGAATATAGTGTAGTGTATCCTACAAACCCTATGGAATATTTGGTTTGCACAGTGGTGGTGGTGGTGGTGGTGGTTTAAGAAAACAAGAGAGGTGGTAATGAGAAATTCTAAAATTCTGCTGTTCATCAGTAAAATAAGATTTCAAATACTCAAAAGGGAAGGAACATGAAAACATCTTTGAGTTTGGTTTTTTTTTTTCAATTTACAAGCCTAGGCAAGAATACTTAGAATCATGACAATCTTCATTACCAAAGAAGTATTTTCTGATGTTACAGAGGCTTCTTGAGAAGTCTGCACAAACCTGGGACTGAGAAGTTGCTGTTTGTGATGGAACCCTTTGTCCACAAAGGCTCTGAACAGTGCTGTGTCCCATCAATAGACCAGGGATGATTTGTGAATTTAGGGTTACAGATCTGGATGACTTACCCTGGGAACTTCATCAGCATCTGAAATGAGGTGTTACAAAGGGACCCGAATCTCTCCCCTCTTTTCTTTCTTTCTTTTTTTTTTTTTTTTCTCTTCTAAACAAATCCAGTAGCCTTCTGAGAGTGGTCTCTCTGACAAGGCTGGCAAAACTGGTGTGCTGCATCACCTTCTCAGGCTGAACAACTGGTAAATTTCAGGTTGGAATATCATACATGTGGTCATGTTCTGCAGCCTGTTTCAGTTTCAAAAGAGGTGATGACTGAGGTGTTAACCTAGGAGTAAGAAGACACTGGAGAAACCTGAGTGACAGCCAAGGCTGATGCTATCCTAGTAAACATCAGTGTTTAGTTCTCAGCAGTGAAAAAGTCCCAGAGATAATCATATATTAAGTAACCATTAAAAAGATATGAGGATTTACCATTACAGGTGGATGTTGAAGAAAGTAATGACAGTAATTAAATACGGCATTGTTTTCCCCCCTTTAATTACTGTGTTGATTTCCCCTCTCTGTTTTTTTCCTCTATCAGAGAGTAAGAGTGGAGGAAATCTTTATTTGGTGTAACAAAATAGATGCAGAATAAATTATTCTAAAAGACAAGTATATCCCAGTATATAAAATGTGTATATTGCAGTGTATAATTTTCTAAGAAAATTAACACCACCTCTTCCAAATCTAAGGGTTTTCTTCCTTCGATAAACATTTAAAATAAAATTGCTGGATCAGAGCTCATCATGCTGCTGTTTGTCTTGTTCTCTAATGGATGTTTTCTGCATCATGTATGTACATTGCAAAGTTACCCTTAAGTAAATTGTTTTCATGCAGAGAATAAATTATACTCTGTTTTATTAGCCTTTAGCTAGACTGGGAGCTTCAGTTACTGGAATTGATCCTCTGGAGGACAACATTAGAACAGCAGATCGGCACAAGTCATTTGATCCAGTCCTGGCCAAGAGAATACAGTACAAGTCCAGTTCACTGGAGGAGATTGTGGAAGAGTCTATGGAAACCTTTGATGTAATTGTAGCTTCTGAAGTAGTGGAGCATGTGGCTGACCTTGAAACGTTTATCAAGTGCTGTTCTCAGGTGTTAAAGGTAAGAGAGTTTTTGCTTTCGTTATTGGCAATATTTATTCTCTATTAATATGGCTCTTATTTAAAGGAATGTGAAAGCACATCTGCATTCTTTTCTCCACTTTGAAGTCAGAAGCACTCTAGAGGTGCCTACCATTCTCCTTTGTGATGCAAGTACATCTTCCCACCTTTAGCTGGGGAATTTATTTCCCCAACCTAGCTTAGCAAAGTGTTAGTGTTATTAGTGTTATTACCTAGTGTTGCAATGTTGCATTGCATCAAGACCTTAAGAAGTCAGGTTGCATCTGATTTCACCCAGGTGAGAGAAAACATGACAGTGCTGCTGTTGATGGACAGCTATGGCTCAGACTGCATTGAAACTGAGGTGTTAACCCAGGAGTAAGAAGACACTGGAGAAACCTGAGCAACAGTCAAGGCTGATGCTATCGTAGTAAACATCAGTGTTTAGTTCTCAGCAGATGTTTCTGACTCACAAGATGCTATTCCAGCTCCAGCATTACATCAGATGTGCTCCTGGATTGCTTTTAAAGGGTCGTAGTTGTACTTGAAAATAATCAGGTGGTTATTCCTCTTGATATTCATTTGTAAAGAAGAATGGTAGACTCAGCACACAAGCAGCAGCTTTCCTTTAATCTCTTTACCTTTCTGATCATCAGAAGGAATATCGGTTATTTGAACGGAACTAATTTTTAGCCAGATAGGGACAAAGAAATTTTCATTTATTTCTACCAAACAGTCTTTTGAAGACTTTTAATTATTTTCTGGCCTTGTTTTTTTAACCATGTGATCATTAAAACAAGCACAGCACGGCACTCAGGAGTCTCAAAAATTAGGCAGCGTTGGACATTTTACTTTGATTTCAATTAAAAAGTGGTTTGGGGTTTTTTTGTTTGTTTGTTTGTTTGATTGCTTTTCGGTTTGAGGGAGTTTTTACAATAGATATTGTATATGCCTTAATACCTTTTATTTAACCATTTCCTGGGCAGGAAATGTTATAAGTGACTTTGTTCTTGGTTAGGTGTTCTTTGGGCAAGGAAATGGTTTTTAGGCCATGCAAGACTCTGATTATGTTGACTCTTTGAGGACTACTGCGTCATACTGTTACAACATTATATTCTGTCTTGTATTTAAATGTTATACTTCTAAATACCTATCTTGGGAAGAAATTACTTCTTTTTGCATTGTGTAGAGTTGCAGATTGACAAATTCTATATTTTAAGGTGATTAAATATACAATTTTTAAAATTAATATTCTTCTAATTGAACATTTTAATCCTCTAATTAGCCTGAAGGTTCTTTATTCATTACGACAATCAATAAAACACAGTTGTCCTATGTCCTGGGAATTGTGGTTGCAGAAAAGATAATGGGCATTGTACCGGAAGGAACACATGAGTGGGAGAAGTTTGTTCCCCCTGAAGAGCTGGAGCACCTCCTGGAATCAAGTAAGTTCCAGGCCAAATGATGGGAATCCAAATAGTCCCTGTAGAAATAGGAAAGGAGTAAGATAGATGGGGTGAGTACCAGCAACAATACACAGTTTTTCCTGACTGAGTTAACAGTCATATATTATGAGTATAATTTCTGGTTTAAAGACACTGCTGCTTACTGGATTTTGCAAAAAATAAATAAACTAAGTGAAATCCTAAGAATGCAGTGATTACTCAAACAAATCATGTTACAGCTGCCCTCTCTTTGATAGCCTAAATAAAAATTCCAAGGTTTTCCATTGTGTTCTGGTGGCAGAATGTATGCTCTGAAGTGGTTCATTTGCTCTAGGCCAGGTCTGAAGCAATAACTGTACTGGCACTCCAGAGCTGCACTGCTGCCACTGCATTGTTTGCATCTTTCCCTTGGGAGGAGATGTTTTTAGTTTTGGTTGCTGCCCCATGTTCTCTATTCATATTATGTTGCTAAAATATTTCTTCAAAAATGAGAAGATAAAACCTACCACAAATTCGTTACTCATTTCTTGAAAAACTATTATACTGATTTTAATTATTTCTAATTAAATTGCCCTGGTTTGATTGCTTTTAAAATAGACAAAGCACTGAGCTGGGAAGAGTTCTGCCCATTGCCCTCCTTTGCTGCAGATGTCTTAAAACCCTGTCACGGAATATTTCACTTTGCTTTAATTCACTGCAAAGAAACTGAAGTATGAGTGGAGCTATTCTCTTGGCAAGGTCTTTTCCTGGCACTTTGCAGTGATGCCATAAGGAACATGACTAATACTGGTTCACATACTGGTGGTTCTTTCTGTTCTTCCTTCAAAAGGAGAAGCAGGTGCAGTGGAGTGATTTGTTTTGATAGGGTGTTTGTTTTCTGCCTTCCATCCTGTATCCTGCTGGGACACAGCGGATCCATGCAGCAAACTGAGCACTGCTCAGCAGGGAGTGATAAATCACTCATTATTTGCACTGAGCCCTTGATGGCATTCTTCTGCCTCTTTCTTACATTTTTCCATTCCTAAAGGGAATCTGCAGAATCCTTCCAAATAGGCTCAGATTTTGATTCTGGAGTGTGTGACGTCAATCTGAAGAATGACTCCGCTTACAGAAAACATTACCAGTCACGCAGGTGTGGTGGTGTGAAGTTGGGGTTTCTGGGAGAGCACATTGCAGGGGCTCACGTGTACCGTGCTCATGGTACGTGGCCTGGCACAGAGATGCTGAAGCCACTGCCAGGAGCAGGAGCTGCTGTCACCCGCAATGCCAGTGGCACTGCATGTAGTGGTGTCTGACAAAGCCCAGCTTGTGAAGTGCTGCTCCCCAGCCTGCAGGAAGAAGTGTATTTCAGTCTTGCTCTTCTAAAGACCTTGATATTGCAGTGATTTACAATATTTAAGAACATCAGTTCCTTTATATGGCTTCTTTCTTTCCTAGATGGCTTTTCAGTCAAGACTGTGAATGGGATGTTGTATAATCCGCTCTGGGGTTCGTGGAGCTGGATGGAAAGCACGAGCCTTAACTACGCAGTGCACGCCGTGAAGTCTGGGGCTCAGGGACAGTCAGGCCCCACAGATGCCCCGTCAGAGATGGATATTCAACAGCGCTCAGCCACAGCTGGCACAGCTGGCACTGCCTCAGACATCAGTGTCTGAGATTTGTGGTGATGGACTGTCACCAGGACAGAAAAGAAGGTTTTACTCAGATGGACATAATAAAACCTTTTCTAACAACAAGCTTCCTGTTTGCATCAGTAATACTTGTGCTATTTTTGGCCAAATATTTTAGGGCAGTCTCAGTAAAAAAACAAGTGCCCATTATCTCAGGAATCTTTTAAGATTGAAATGGTCAAAGCTTTTAAAGAGTAAGTATTTTTATGAGAAAGTAGTTTCAAATTGTTGGACAGGGAAATGCAAATTATTCTGTCAGTAGCTTGGAGGAAGCTCCTGTATGTGGAGGCATTTTCAGTCCTCTGGGACTCAGATCTTCACAGAATAATAGTGTAAATGTAAAGTGAGTTAAAACCCACAATGATGTACAATAAATAAAATGCATTGGGTATTTAAGATACTCAACTCTGTTATGATGCCTCAGAGCTTTTTTTTTATTTTTAAACTTTTATAGATTTTAGAAGTAGATGTGTAATGAATGTAGATTTTAATGTAGCTGTATTATGTCCCTTACCCTGTAGCATAATGTTTACACATACCTAACCCTATTATCCTATTTCATATCAATCCCTCCAAAATTCTGTTAGCATATTTAGTCTTCTTTTCAAGGTAGAATTGTAGAAAAACATCCTAAGGCCTGGACCAGAAGATATCACAGAGACAAAGTGACTTTCAAGCCCAGAACTTTGGAGGAACTCCAAGGTCTGTGTGTGCTGAGAAGAAGATGCGGATGAGGAAGAAGGGATCCCAAATGCCCCCAGACCCAATTCCTGAAGGGGCGTGTTGGGGGGCAGAACTGGGGGATGGACAGAACTGGGATTGGATGGATCTTATTATAAAATCATAGAACCACTACCTAGAGGCACGTGTGGTATGGATTCCCTGGGCCTTAGGCCTGAGATTAAAGGACCTGCTCTCTTTATCTTATCTTATACACTAAATTGGCCTGGAGTCTTTTTCTTTCTTCAGTCCTTTAGGCAAGAGTTAAAATGTATGAAACACTTAAAAACTACAGACACTTGTTTCTATAATATGCCTTTCTCCCTGAGAGAAGGGGAAAAAGAAAGAGCAAACCTTTTCTGTTGAGTCCTGCTATATCTGCAGTTGATGTGAGGTAACTGTGCAGTGGAAGAAGAGTCATAGATCAGAGTGCCTCAGCTGTCGAAGCCTCTTCACCATAAAGATTCTTGTATTTGTGCCTATAATTTCAACTTTCTCTCTCTGCCCAAATAAAGGGAAGTAAAGCTGTGGGTAAAATTTTACTAAGCAACCAGGGCTTTATGCTAGAAAAATGACATATTAGCAGCCTGTCCTAGAACTGAAGTGCCATATCTACTCAGTCCTAATGTCCGAGAGCCCAGGTAAAGAAAAGTGATTTACAATGAAACAGAACTTTCTAAATAAAGTGTTTGTGTGTGTGTCTATGACTGTATCTCCTTTTTCTTTCAGCTTGTACACAGCTTGTCTCTGCAGGCATGAAAATGAAACTTTTTCCTTCCCTTATTTTTCTCCCTTTTTTGTTTGCTTGTTCATTTTTCCTGCTGTAGAGGTGTGGTGGGCTAAATTATTGTTTTACGCATTTGCATTCTTGCTGCTTTGCTGTATCTGCATGTTGCCTTCAGATCCAAGTTTCATGATGGATTTGATGATGGCCAGGAAAATGTATTTAATTTATGATGGAAATAATAGTAATTCATAAGTATTAAGACTACAAAGGATTATCTGGTGTGATCGTTTCCATGACCGTAAGTTCCGCTTCATAATATTTCTTTGGCTATAGCTTGGCTTTGAGCAAGTGGTTCATCATCATGTAAAGTGTTCAGTGATGGAGAAGCCATCACTGAAGTAAGCCATAATGTGGCTTACTACATCAGTAAGTAAATTGTTCCAAAGGTTCACTGGTTGAAGTGGTCTAAACCTCAGAACCTAGCCAGTGATGCCTTAACATCTCAATTTTTATGCTTAAGGACCTGTATCAGCTGCAGTTTTGAGTCAAGTCACCCCTTAATTTTCTCACAGATAAATGGTCTGAGATTATCTCTACAGCTATTACCACTGTATATGAGTTCCTGTAAAATTTCATGATAAACATCCTTTCTGAAGCATGACAGTGGCAATGGATGCAGCATTTCAGTAATGGTTTCACTAATGCTGTCTGCAGGAGGAATACATCATTCTCTTTCTGCCTGACCACCTGTTTGGGAGTCGCTGCTCCACTGGTCGTGCATGCAGTGTGGTGCACAGCGTTGAGGAGAGGAGTGACACTGGGGAAAAATGTGGAGCCTAAGCAGATAAAGCAGTGGTCTTTGATCCTATCAGTGTGTTCAGGCGCGTTGACCTATGTGGCTTGAGTAAGTTCCCCTAACCAAATTACCAACTTCAGTCTAGGTTACAACAACTGTATGACTGCTCTGTTTCAATTTTTGCCAACAGTGAATTAAAAGAAATATTCTGAAAAGCACTGAGACCTGGGCACATTCCTGGGGTAGCCCACTAGAAACATCTCCCAAGAGGGACCTGTCATCTCCCTCTCCACCAATCTGTTTTGAGACCTGTCACATGAAATAAAAATAATGTAGATAGAACTCGAATAGAAACAGCTGAATTTTCTTTGCTTCAAGAGCCCTAAATCCAGATGTTTGTGTGACCAGCTGTTATCTTGGTTTTCTCATCCTTTTCTTTTTTCCCCACTTCACAGAATCAAAGAATACTCTGAGTTGAAAGGGACCCACAAGGATCGTCAAGTCCAACTCTGAAGTGAATTACTTGCTCAGTAATTCTCAGAATTGCTTGCAGTTTTTCATTAAACTGTGAGCCACCTGGGGAAGAAACTGTTTTGTTGGGGTTTTTTTTCACTGCTATTTCTATTGCACATGGCACAAAAAGCCTTTGATGCTGCCCGGGGTTCTCTGTCCAGGCTCACAGGAGGGATCATGTACCTAATGGATAGTGGTTTAAGCAACAAGCACGTGGACCTGGCTATCCATGGATACCTCTGGTTTTGACAAAAACCTTATCACAAGCACCCAGCCTTCTGCTCCTACATGCCTATTGGAGCCCTGTCAATCCAGGAGAGTTTTGTGAGCAGTGTGGTCAAAGGAGTGGGGACTGCCGTGCACAAGTCCTTGTACACATAGCATGTCTCCAGATGCCCTGATGTGCTCCATCCAAAGTTTCTAACCCTCAGTTTTCTTCTGGTGGATTGTCCTAACTATTCTGGCTGTATTTATCCCCCCTCTTTAAAACAGACTCATTTTAAACTAGAAAGTAAATGACTGTGGTAGAGATAATTTTCGTGAGATAACAAACAGTGCAAGAATACCCTACACCTTTTTATCTTTTTTGTGGTTTTTTTTTAAATCCCTACATTATTCATAGATGTGCAATTCTGTGATCAAATTCAGTACAGTGTAATCAAATTCAGTACTGTGCATTGAATACATACTACATATTTGTGCTACAGAAACTTTTTTCTTAAAATCTGTGCATAGGAAACCAAGTTTTCACTCTTCTCTTAGCCCAGTTCCTGCAGAAATTTAATAGTGCTATTGAAATGGGCAGAGTGTAAGTCAAGTAAATTTGAAAATCTTTTTGCTTTCATGTTGTTCATGATTATGAAACCATAGCTTCAATGCTTACATGAACAGTGACAGTAGGAGGTGAAAAAAGCAGTGTTACAGCAACCAGGCATGCACACAGAACTGGGTGAGGCAAGAGGTTATTCTTGCCATTAGATTGGGAAAAAATTGTATTTGGGGCTTGCTCTTTACCAGTCTCTGTTTATTTGTCATTGTAGACTCTTGACTCTCCTGATCCCAGCCATTTGTTTCTGCAGCACAAATCAGAGCCCTGGGGGAGCCCTTCAGGGTGCTCCCTGCCCTGGTCCTCAGCTGTAACTGAGGAGGACTGACCTGGATGGGCACGTCCACACCCACTGAGTTCTTGCCACTGCTGCAGGAACACAGAGCTCTGTGTCTCTCCCACACCCAGGGATGTTAAAAACCAGTAAACACTTATGTTTTTCTTTCTAAACAAAGCACCACCAGATTTTCTTTCACTGTCAAAGACAGGTAAGTGTTCATCGCATTCCTCCTCACCCCTCCCAGTCCTAGCAGCAAGAACACCTAATTTCTCAAGAGCACAAAGCTTTGGAATACTGAGGTGGTTCTCTGACCATGGGCTTGCCTGGAGGCCTCTGCTCTGCAGCCAAGAAAAAAAGACCCCTTGAATTTTGAATCACTGGAACAGCATTTCTCAGTCAGACTGAGTATAAGAAAAATCCTGCCAAAGCTGCCAGCAAAGGGTGTCCACTAGGAAATGTGTGAGTGTGGGATGAGATTTGGCTCACCCTGATGTGGCTGCAAAGTACTCTGGAGAAACCTTGTTTTTGCCTTGTCTGGAGGAAGCGTGAGGCCCAAGATGAACCTAGATGCCAAAGTTTCTGAAGGTGTTGTCAGATGAGATGATGTCCCATGAAAGAACAACAAAGAGAGGAAGCTACATGGGCTGAAAAGCTTCATAGCAGGTAGTGCAAGAAACTTTACATGGCCTGTCTAGGCAGGACAGCATTTCCATGTGGGTTGTACAGCATGTCTCCCTTATTGAATCTTACCCGAAGATAAGAAAAATGCTTCTGTCTTCAGAACTACTCCGCAAGCATCTTTTTCAAGAACCAAATTCACAATAAACCGAAGTCCTGCTATCTACTACAATGTTCAACAGTTCACCTGCTTGGAGGATGCAGACTGCAGGCCATTGGCTCTGCCACTGTCTCTCCCATCCCTCTTTGTTTCCAGAGCTCTCAGGAGATGAAAGCACAGCCTTGGCCTCAGGGATATGGCCTCTGGAAGGGGCTCTCCTCCTCCCTGTTCCCATCCCTTCTTCTTCTCCTCCCACTGCCTTCAGCTGAGAGTTGATTTCCAGACAAATGTGTCATGCTGAATGACCTCCTCTTCCCATTTTGTGGTTCTATTGCCCTGAATTCACAGGGTTTGTTCTCACTACTGGTATATTGCTCCATTCTGCAGCGTCTGCAGCAGTTAGTGCTTTTATCTGTTACAACTACCTTAGGTGGGTTGCAAGCTAATCTAAGGCAGATGCATTAAAACAACATTTCTTACTTAGGGGGGTAAAATCTGAAGACCACAGATCTTTTGAAAAGAGTAAATACAGTACGGTAAGGAAATCTGTGTAAGGAAATCTGCAAAACCTTCACACATCTCTGTTATTAGTTTAATATGAACCAAGACGGCAACCAGATCACGGCAGTATGTACTGCAAATCTTACTTCTTCTGAGGATGCTGTAAATCAGAGAGCACTTACAAATGAGCAAAGACTGGGAGCCGCTGTACCAGGCTATGGCAAGAAATCTGTAATTGGTTCCCAGCACTATTCCACTACTGAGAAAGTGTTACATGAAATATCTGACTACAAAAGTGTGTAACTGCCCCTGTGACATTGTGAGGGTTGTTAGTTGTCCAAAAAGCTTGTGTGTAATAAAATTAAAAACAATGAAAGAATTGTGAAACTGTAGGTCTGTCAGATGAGTAGCAGCAAGCTATACTCAGCTGCAAGCCCGAGTATTTCCACCTGAAGAAAGCAGGAGGTTTCATACAAAGTGGTTTTGGGGCTTTGTTTTTGTTTTTGGTTTTTTTTGAGAAAGAAAGATACCCTGACTTACATCATTCAGGACAGTCTGAAGGTATGGATTGCCTTAGAAAGTGGCTTTGTTTGCCAGCAAGTGCAAAGTAAAAGCTGGAATTGCATTTAATGTGTACAGATACTTCTGTATAGCACAGAAGTAGTTTAGATTCTGGATGTTTTGCATATTCTGTGTATTTGTACCTTTGTCTGTCATGAAAGTTACATTAACTCCTTTTCTAAATTCAATCTGAAAAACACAGCATGACTGTTTTGCAGCTATACCTTGGCTATTTTTATCTGAATAATTAAAAAGTCGTGTTTATGAAACTCAAGCTGCTCAGAGAGATCATCAATATTACAACAAAACCAATCCCAGTTTTGTCAGCAATTATTTCAGAAAGATCTTGGGAGCCTGTTGTCAATGAAAAAGCCTTTTTTCACCCTCTCATAAACTCAGCCCTCACCACAAAACCCCCTTAAATTACATCATCTGCAGCCCAGGGCTCAGTGAGTTTGGGCTACTTCAAAGAGAAGGAAAGCATTTCCGTACCGCTGGAGGATGCTCTGGCAGCACACGAAGTGAGAGCTCAGCCTAAGCAGAGGTGTCATTTTGGTTGGTGACAGCTGGTCACTGTGCCTGGGCACGGAAAGGGGCTTTTGCTTCAGGCAGAGCAACCCATGCTCATTTCTGGAGCTGTTAAAGGCTCCGTGCTGTCCAAACTTTGACCACTTGGAAGAGAGAGAGGCAGCAAGTAGGAGCCATGGGTGATACCAGTGCAAAAAATGAGTGGAAAATGGATGGCCCTGTTTTATGAAGCTCCAGGAGAGATCTGGCAAATAAAGCTCTCCTGTTTAAACCCAGCTGGCAGCAGTACAGGAAAGCAAAACCTGGAGCAAGGCATTCAGCGTGAGCTCTGATTTTTTAAAAAGCATACTTAGTTCAGCTAAAATACAGACAGGACAGCTTCTGCAGTGGGACTCCCCAAAGACTCATCTCAACCACTGGGTTCAGGCTGTGGTTTCCACACCCCCTGCCACCTCTGTAGGCAGTCTGCCATGGTAACCTCAGGCTTTTTTAAAGAGGTGTAATGAACCCAAGGACATTACAGAAAACAAACCCAACAAACATAATGAAGATCAAGAGTCTTTATGCAAACGTACAGAATCAAGTGACACTAATGAGTTTATAAGTTCCTTCCTGCCTCTAAATCAAACTGCAGACTTCAGAAGAAAATTTGGCTTGCTATATTAACAAAGTAAGCTTAGATTTATGTTAACTAGAAAAATCTTCCTATTTAGTCCTGTTACTCTCTCTTCCTTTAGGCAGCTGCATTAGAACAGATTACAGATAAAAGTGTACTTTAACGTTTTAGGTCTTGTTTTGCTCTGTGTGCTGTATCTGAGGGATGACTGTTCCAGACTGTGCTGCACTTGGTGTGTGTTTGCAGCCAGACAGGCTGTGGGTGTATCACTGTTAGCTCTCATTTTCCCCACTCAAAAAAATGAACAGTGGTAATTTAGCAAACATGAAGAGCTGGATCCCCACCCTCCCTGAGCAAGACAGTGAGGCAGCCATCAGCCCAGCGGGCATCACCTGCAAGCTGCTTTGAGGCAAAGTGGGAAAACCAGAGCATATCTCTGGAACCAGTCTGAGACTGCAGCACCTGCAATGTACAGGAACAGAAGGCAATTCTCAGGTTCATGGACACTGCTGCCAGCTAATAATCCTCTCTAATACAAGTCATTGGCCATGGGCAAAAGGCTTTGCACCTTCCCTGGAGGAATGGACACTGCCTTCTTCCACAGTCAGGGAAAAGGCAGGCCAAGGACATACTTTTTGATGTTTTACCTGCAGATAAGCTTGGCTATCAGACTTTCAGGCCAAATGGATTCAATACCTGCTGGCAGGAGACTTTAAAACCCCAAGAAAGAGAGGCTGTCAGAGCACCACTAGCAAGACAAGTGTGAGGGACAGGTATGAGGGTACTTGTGTTTTATCTATGTTCTTTATTTGCTGTTAAACTCTGGCAACCAAGATGTGACATTGGGATCTTTTAAATGGCCAAGTCCGGTCATAACCAACTTCCAAAAATCCTATTTATGAGCAGGGCAGCAAGGCTGCCAGGGTATCTGTGGGGATCTGTATACCATGAGGCATGTGTGCTGTACTGCTAAGGCTTCCTGCACTACGTTCTGGGAGGCATTGCTGTGTTCTGGACCCTCGCAGCTTCCAGGCAACATCGCACCCAGAACAGGATTAACACACTGTAAAGTCCTTCTCCAAAAGAGGGGTATCAATGTCCTTACTGAACAAATGTTAAACATCTGACTCAAGTGCTGCTCTAATAATCCTGAGGCAACTAGGCACAAGCTGGACTACCAAAACACAGCATCGATTTTCAGAGCATAAATTGCAGTAACGCTTCCTTCAAGACACCAGGTTTGCCTACCTCATCTGGGTCAGCACTGGGAGGTGAATGATTTGCTCCTGCCTTCCCTCTCTCCTCTCCCTCACAGGTCTTCCCAGTTGTGCTGGCCACTGATTAAAACACAGATTTTAGGATAGCTCATTTGCCTCTGAAAGTCAAGCAGTAGAAGCAGCTGGGATGCGGATGCCCAGGACCTTCCTTCACCCTCACAGAAACTTAGATCCCATCTGTAACTGGATCCCTCTTATCAGTAACACAGCAAGCAATTCCCATGGAGGAACAAAAGCTGAGACCGGTTATCAGGCTATGGCAGTCCAGATTTGTTAGGCTGCCTGCCACTTGAAATAAATCTCCACCCTGAGATTTGCAGGTGCTGTAGCAGAGAAAAAGCACTTTTCTTCTTTGTTTCTTCATTGCACTGTTGTAAGTATTTAACAAAACCTCATGCTGCAAATGATCAGCTGTGGCATGAAGGGGCTGCTGCTCTCACTTGCCACTCTTATTTCATTACCTGTGCATCATCCGTCATGTGGGGTGGCCCAACAGCTGTGAAGACAGTGCTCAGCCAGCACCTCGCCAAGGATGAGTGCAAAGGAGGAGCAACCTGTTTGTGGAATGAGACTTACTGGGTCCCTGGGATCTCTGATTCCATTGATGCCCGAGAGTGGAATGTCATCACAGTATCAAACACATGCTGTGTATC